GCTTATTTTTAATTACTGGTGGGGAATTAAGTATTATGGAAAAGATGCCTGGACAGAGTGCCTACCATCAGCATGTGTTAATCATGTAAGGAACAAATCCTGCTCTGAACACTTCATGTATTTTCTGATTTCAGGGAGGATGTAAGCAATGAATTGAAGCAACAGCTGCAAATCATGCAAAATATAATTGACCACACCATGTTTTGCTAAGATGGCAGACTAGATTCTCTGCTACCTGACATCCGGAGTAGCTATTTGCTCTCAGGTCCTAGGAGTGCAACATGGCCACAACTCAATATGTTGATTGCAGAAATCATACTTGGTGGACTAGCTACGAAGGAACTGAACGTACACAGCAACACATGATCGTGAATTACACCTACTGCCAAGATTCTCCAGGGTGAGAGACATCATATTAACACAATGCGGTATCCAGCAAAAGCTAAACCTCTTGGTTAATTATATTCCTAATTGCTAATACTTCCAAGACCAAACAATCTGGAGCCTTGAGTACAGCATGCAGATTCTTTTACTACCACCTTCTCAAAATAGAAGATTGATTGAGAAGGTTTCTTAGCTAGAACCATTACATTCAGGCATTACATGTATTTTTCACTTTGCTGATCCTTCCCTCCCTCTCCTGCATATCCAAGGCACAAGCCGTACTGGGGTAGTAGCAAAGGCCAACTCCATCCGACACTTTCAGTTTATCCCAGCCTTGAGATGACGTTTGGGTCAAATGTGATGCCCATACATGCGTTCCACGGCCAGAATATATTCCAGGGGACTTGTTCTTTTGTTTAAATCCTGTTTTCAGTCAGTTCCCTAGGGGTGACTTCAAAGCCACTAGACTACCACTTTGGGACAATATTCAGAATCAGAAAGTCCCCATAACCTTAAAATGGAAGGATGTGCAACAAAGGTGTTTCTCTCAAACTCCTGGGCTACATAACAGATTATATTGACATAACCTGTGCAACACCGTAAAACTAGCAAGCATCTTGAAGCAAGACAGGACACAGAAGAACATTCTATGGAATGCATAAAACCAAACTCAAACAGCATGAAAAAAGTAGTTTTTATTTTTATTGTTTACAAAAGCATGAACACCTTATGCAAAAGCAGCATCCTGAACCGTACATTTCCCTCATCCTCCTGGGATACTGGTGAAAAGCGAGTATTTTCTCTCTTCTTTAAGGTTAAACGTACTCTGCTGAGGTAAACGGGAACCACCCCACCGATTTCCATGGAGCTCCGACTGCTTACGTTACCAAAGGGGCCAACTCCTCAGACCGCAACACAATGAGATGTCATATGGGTGACTTGCTCTAGGTGCCAAATGGGCTTAGTCTGTGCTTCTAACCAGGATGAATACACTATACAGATACTAAATAGGCTCTCCATCTCTCCAATTTTAACTGAATGGATCTAATTTTAAATATCTGTTTAAACATTATGATTCTCATCCCACACTAACCTCATACAAGGTTTAACTTTATGCACCATGAACAATTTTACTCAAGTTTTTTAAGAGATAGCAAGTGTGCTTATAAGCTATTTTAGGAGTGAGGCCTTTCAGCACAATAGCTATTTACTCCTTTCTTACCTGCCTCCCCAGCACATGGAGGTCAAGCGCTTACTCTGAAGAAACGTGCCCTAAGGTTAACCTGAAAAAAAAATGTGCAGCGTTTTTATTTTGCCTTCATCTTTTTCTCCTGATCTGGAGCTGGAAGTAGTTAAAGGTCATATAATCAAATAGGTCATGCTTTTGAACCTACAGAGAAACATTTATTTATTAATAAAGTGTTCTGTTAAACAGAGAATTTGATTGCAGTGACTTCAAAGACTTACCTGGAGCAAATTACTCGTATTTCCTAAAATGATCCCCACTATAAAACAGCGTAATTCCTCAGCTCCTCCAAGCTGAGGTCCCTCCCCTCAGAATCTACAACCGATGCCTCAAAGTATTTATTACACTGGGAGAAATGGCTCTGGCTTGTCTGCCAACCTATGTCTAAAATGACTGACAAATGCTATTTATGTCTGCAAGACTGATACTGGATCTATGGATCAATGAAAACTGTTTCATTTTACTGCTTGAGCTGTAGGAATTGTGCTATCAGCTCCTGCCAACTTCACATTAAAGAAATATAATTTACTTCACATATTGAAAGAACCTGCTAAGAACCCCTATATATATACACACACACACACACACACAAAATGTATGTGTACACATACATATATGCACCATTTGTATTTATTTTACACTGACAAAGTGCTAAAAGAATCCAGTAACTGTCACTGCTAGAGATGAGGCTAATGAAATAGTACCACTTATATGGCATCAAATAATTATCAGACTCTGGTCCAAGAGCTTCAGAACTGTTAGCAAAAAAGTATCTTTCATTGGCAAAAAAGAAAAGTTCCAAATGGTTTGAATTTCACTTTTAAATGAATTGGAAGCATTTAGGAAAAAAAAAAATACCATGCAAAGTAGATTTTATAATTTAAATTTCAGTTCTGTGTATAGCACACACACACATTTATACATATATTCTATTACTTTCATGGCAAAATTCTGAGGTGCCTTGGACTCAATGATGACTTCAATGAATCTGGCAGTATCTCACATGTGCATCATTGCCTCAAATTTGGAAAACAAAGAGCTGTACAAGTTCAGCCCTGTATTCTGTGAGTCTGGCTGCATAGTCAGAAGCAGAAGTATTGCACTCAAGATCACGCCTACAAAAATGCACATTTAATAAGGCCATTATATTCAAGATCATAATGGGACTTAAGTCACATGAACAATCAAATATATCATAAATAGGCCTAGGAAAACCATATTGCAGAAGATGGACTCCAAAGAGCAGTGTTCCAGCAATTTAATAACTGATTTTTTTTCCATGAAATGCCAATCTCTCAAACTGGTTTTACCCACAGGGCCAGACAACATGATGTGTATGTATGCATGCATTCTCACAATACGTTATTTCATTTTTTCTTAGAAGTTACCAAGTGCTCCAGAGTTTGAGGGTAGGATTCTACTCAAGTTCTGCCAGTAAGGTTCAAGCTGTTATCAACTTTAAGCAGCTTCCATGCATGATGAGGGGAGAGATTTAACTTTCAGTTATTTAAATATTTGCCAACATGCAAGACGTAATTCTTACTTTACAAAGCGTAGCAAAGACATAATTGAATCTGTACTGGAATACTTCTCAGTATGCTCTTTCAGAGCTAGATCACATTAAGATTATCAGTTTATCTGATCTGGCTTACCAAAAGAAAGACAGAGCAAACAACCAATTTAACACAATACAAGGAAGATACAGATTTACAAGTTAGCTGCCCACATTCCGTGGCAAATACAAAGAAGCTACACTTTAATCAAAGTGGGATAAGTGACCTTGAATTTACAGCAGGGTAAGCGTATTCACACCAGCCATTACCTTGGAGTAGCAGGTGTGCTGTAAATCTGCTAGCTTGCTTTGTAGTTATTTGCTCCTTTAGCCATCCCAAAGTTACCCAGTCAGCCAGCATTTTGGCTTGGTTAAGGGTAGTGGCATTTGTCCAAGAAGGAAGGGTAGACCACCATCCCTCTTCCCCATGCCACACTACATAAATACATAGAGTTACGCAAATGCAAAAAGCATCAGTAGAAAGGCTGGAAGAATCACAAGACACAGCAGACAGGAAACTTAATGGTCACATGCATTACAGTTCAGCAGAGATACTCTTTCACAATCCTATATTCTGCCATGAAATCCACGGTGGTGGTGATTACGGATGAACTACCTTCCAGCTGAATCAATTCCAGCATCAGGAACTATTTCTGAATACAACAGGCTATATCCAACCATTTTTTTCCTAGGACTAGCTTTTTGGATTTAGACAGTTTTTAGTATAGAGACAAGAGACAAACTTGAGACATGGAAGATGTGACCTGTTTACATAATATAAACAGACAAATGGATAAATCAAGATGCAAAAACTATTAAGCATGTCACACACTTTACACCTACAGCTCCATGTACTTTTTTCCTGCAACAATGGTGTCCCTTGCCAGATGCAAGTTTGTCACTAACTATGAATATGTTTTTGAACAGAGCTGGGAGGAATGCATTTAGCTCTTGCAGTGATGAGCAAAGAACGTGGGAGTTCAGGATATGGTTTCTAGTTCCACCCCTGTCTTATACTCGTTGCATGCTGAGCAGCTCAAAACATCTCTCTTAGTAATCACATTATTTGGAAGGAGAATAACTCTCTTCGTATTTTCTTCACAAAAGGAGCAATAAGAAGTCCATTAATGTATCACGTAGGATGAAAAGCTGTCTAAAAGACTTCTACTTATTTTAGCAGTTTTGACTAAAAAATCAGCAGACTCACTTTGTCAATTAGGTTGAAGAGACAAGAATATTTTCAGAATAGAGTTTCAGAAGCCCATCTCTGACATTCACATTAAAATGGTGGCCTGACTACTAGCCATACTTTGTCTGCAAGTGTCTAAACAAATAGAGTACTGATGGGTATCAAGCAGTAGCAGCATTTTCAATATTTTATGTTTGTTGTATTTAGTACTTTTAAACCGAATTCTCTCTCCCAATAAAGTGACTTTCCTGTAGTTAGCATGACTACCCATACACACAGCATTTCTAAATGGAACTACACATTGTTGTTTTCTCTCTACCATAATATTATCTTACCGTTTTTGGTATCAGTCAGCACCACAGCTTTAATGCAGGTCACGGACAACAAGCAGCAGGCCTACTTTTACTGCTTGCTTGAAACAATGTATTGTTTCATATTTACACATTCTTAAAATGTTTTCTTCACTTAGCCATACTAAAAGTACCACTCCAAAATTTAAGTTTACATTGAAAAAGGTTATTGATGACTTAACCAAAAAATACCGCCCCCCCAATCCCTTTCATTCCCACAGGAAATCATATTTTCTCCTGAATTAGTGTTAACAGATATTTATATTAGAGGACTCCATATTTCAGAAACCAGTTATTTAATGCTCAATATTCTTTTCAGCAGATGAAGAGGTAGGTATATTTCCACACAAGAAAAAAAAAAACTGTAACAGATGCTCAGTTAAATCAAGTAATGTCTGAAAAGTCAAACACTGTTCTGACAGCACATAAACATAATGTGTCTGAAGATACTCTCCAAGGAGGACAAGAAAAGTTGCGCATTCTGATTAGATAATATGTCATAATTTGAAATTTAATAATTTTCTAGAAAGAAAACACAAGTATCCAAACGCTACTTCCTTCCCCTCCCTCCCCCAAAGAAATGTGGGTGCCAACAAAACTGCCTGTATCAATGGTATTATTAACTTTTGGACTGCTAAACATGGAATCAGCTGCAATTCTTCCTTACATTCACCAACACCAGCAGTCTACAAGTTTACACAGAGACCATATGCATGGTAATTACATAATTACAACAGAAATTCAACTTTAGTGTTGTTGTTAAAACAATCTTCATAAATAATGAAAATATCTGTGTTCTAGCTCTTCAGTAACCTAAGGTTAATTGGTACAGATAGTGGTTTTTTCTTCCTTTTATAAACCAAACTGGAGGTTCCTCACTGCCAACAATGGTTAAGGCCTGGATCAAGTTACTCTCCTTTTGCTTTTCCCTTTTTCTGCTTGTTTCCGTTTTCCACCACTGCATTATTTTCTGGTTTGCTTACTCCATTTGCAACAGCACCATTTGCTATTTTGCCATTCTTTACAGGTTCCTTGGGCAGCTTATATGTCCGATAGTAGAAGTTACCAAAGAGGAAAATGAAGGTGACAGCATAGAAAATTACACCCCAGTGCATCCATTTAGGGAAAGGACAATCAATATAAATAGACAAGGCTGTGTGGCCAATAGTCACATGGAACTGCACCTGAAAGACAGAAAATACAGAATCAAAAAGGTTTGGATATATTCTGTAGGTCTGACTGCACCAGTGTATAATCAATGCATTAAGTTATGAAAACTGCTAAATTGGGAGGCAGTAGGGAAGCTGTATTTGGCTGTCACACCACGCACACGCACATATGCTTGACCTGGGACATAAAATTTATTGCAGTACCTGGCACCAGTTTTCAGAAATAGGAAAATAAGAAGACATTAAGAGATCTGGATTTTCTCTACCTTTTGAACAGGTTTTTGCAATTCAGTTGAAACAACAGGAAAGTAGTATTAGACTTTACTCACACAACTCTTATCTATGCTGTGTATTTTTTGAGAAATGAAATAAATACTTCCGTCTCCAGGAAGTATTCTAACTTGAGCTATGAGTATCAGACAGCTAAGAACTTTTGGAAGGAGCAGCATCTGTTCCAAAGCTCTGCAAATGCAAATCCACTCAGAGGCAATACCTTCTGAGATAAAGGGAGATTTTTTACTTACCAATTGCAATATGGTCAAGTATCGTTTCCACCACAGGTATTTCTGAAATTTAGGGCCACAGGCAGCTAATCCATAATACATGTACATAATGACATGAATAAACGCATTCATCTGAGCTCCAAAAAAAGCTGTTCAGGAACAGAAGGGAAGATCGTCATGTAATTTTGAAAAAAGAAAGAAGTCTTTTCTAGTATTTTTCATGTGATAGTACAAATTATAAAGCACAGGACATGTCAGGCTTCCATCTTTGAAATATTCAATAGTATAGTATAGATCTGACTGCCGACATGTGCTGACAAAAATAGCAGTTCATGCAAGTAGTATGTCTCATTTTTCATGGAACTACTTATGGAAAGGCTTTTCATAAGACTTTTGTTGAACAGACATAAATCATGTGGATTCCACATTAGTTATTGTAGTTAAGTGCAATTGTTTTGCAAAAAGAATTATTAAAAGTGGTATTTGACAATGTAAAGGAATTTAAAGGTTCGGAATTTAAATCTTTTGAACTATATTTAAATACACAAGGTTCACTTGCAAGAAACTCATGTGGAAGTCTGATTAAAGAGGCCAAAAAAAACATACAAAGCAAAACTTCACTTGTGGTTGTAAGACATTTAAGGGCATTGCCACATGAGTTTGTCTAAATGGCTCATCTTTAGCTTCCTTATTTATGAAGTAAAATATCCAGCATTCTTAAATAGATAAGTGTATAGTATAACTTTTTCCAGAATGATCCACGCTGAAAGCGAAGACTACAGTTCGTATTTGCATTAAGATCTCTTTGCTCTGTCAAGATTAGCAGCCATTTAACAGAAACAAATTATATCTTAAGGTATTCTTACACTGCCAGAGGGACTCAAAAGGCTCTAATGTAGAAGATTAGGGCAGTATACACAATAGCTGCTGACATGAAACAGCTCAGATGACCATGTGGTCTAGACCCAGCTGGTTATAATAGGGTCTAGTTTATAATAGATCTGTCTATGTAAGCGATGTGCTATCAATTAGAAAACAGAAAACATATGTCTATCCACTCTTATGCAGTAGCACTACATAAATGCAGAAGAGCAACTGTTGCTTTTCCTTTTGCAGGGGCTAGAAACTAAGAGGCAGTGCAAGAACACCAAAACTTGAAATAAATTTGGAAACAGTTGCAACTGTTGTATTGAAAACTGCAGATATTTAGCAATAAAAGTCTAAAAAGGCAACAAGGGAGAGGGCATTTTGAGATATCCAGGGGATTTCTAAGTAAGACTACAAGTACGCATCCAGTCTCCAATAAACTTATTTTATGGGTGCAGTAGCCAATAAAGATCATGAAATGTCTGGTTGAGTACCTGCATCCTGCAGATTATTTGGGAGAAATTAAAGGATAGTCACAAATACTAATTTTAAATATTTCTTCTTTTCAATATAAGTAACCACTCAGTACAAGATATCTATAGTAAATGAGAGCATAAAACCCCCGTGCATTAAGTATGGGTGTGGTTTGACAAAAAACCCCAAAATCTCAGTTTGGTCTGGTGTTTACTGTAAGTTATTCTCACTGTCTTAAGCCTACAAAGCATATTACAAACAAAACAGGGTATTTTCCCTGAAGCTTCAGCTCTGTAGAGCTTATAATTCGAGGGAGACAAGGCAAAACAACAGGAACAAGGGTACAATGCAGGCAAGGGAAGATGTGGCATGTACAATGGAATAAAATTCTTTGATGGGGGCTTTAGAAAGAAAGCAAGGGAAAAAAAAGGCTGATAATGAATTATAGACTTGTGTCATTATGAATAAGTTTTAAAAGTTAATTGACAGATTTATTGGCTCACCTTCAAGGGAATGTTTCAGAATTTTATACATGCCTCTTTATAAAAAAGAAAGCAAACCCCAAACTCAGATATAATGCCAAATTAACATCTCCATTAACTTCATTACATTTGCACACAGATTGTGGCCCACAATTAGATTTTGCAGTTCTCTGTATCTGCAAAAATTAAAGTTAGGCAAGACATATTCATCTTTCTATTTCATACAGAACAAGAATAATTTTGAAGACAGAACTTCAGGCTTGCAATTGATGCCCACGAGGAAAAAAAAAGTTTTGCAATTCATTAGATTATTGCCCTGTTATCTTTTCCTCCCCCACGTTTCCCATGCACGAAAACTGTACACATTAAAGCTACTGCACTGCTTCAGTGCTATTTAAAGTCTTCTATATTATAATGTTAAGTCTATGAAAACTTTTTTTCATTGATTCCAAACAATAATAATTCTCCCTTGTGTCCAGTCAAAAGGGTATGGGAGGAAGGGAACTCACCTTGTCCACCTGCAACCCACTTAATACCAATCCACCACAAGGTGAACATGGTGAAATGGTGATAGACATGAAGGAAACTAATTTGGTTAAATTTCTTCCTCAGGATGAAGAATACTGTATCCAAATATTCAATTCCTTTAGAGACATAATACCACCATAAAGCAGCAGCTATCTGCAATGAAAAAAAGACAACACAGAAATTTTAGTGATTCCAAGTTGAATGGAATAAAGTTCTCTCTACTGATCCGCTGCAAGAGGAGGATACCTCTTCCTTCCCCAAATCCTGGTAAATGTTGAGGTGGAGTCATCAAATATCTAACGGTATGAGAACAACAACAAAAACAATACTCCATTCATCTATTCTGGACATGGAAGTATTGTTCTGAGTCTACTGCTCACAAATCACAACCATAAAAAAGAGCTAACATAATTAAAAGCTTTGCCATCTCTAAACAGTTTCCCAGTTAAACATAGGACAGTTTGTGTCCTCATTCTCTATCCTAAGCTTTGCGGGAGAGGACTACCACAGGGCTTCCTGCACTAATGAGGCAACACTTTGATGCAGTCAGAACAACGAGGCAGAAACATTATGATAAAATGAAGCTGCGAAGGTTGAAGCCTTATATAAAATTCTTTTGGTACCACAGGCAGATGGGTGGGAAGATACCAAATCATTCTTACAAGCTAGGTGCAGTACAGATTTCACATCCCTTAGGGTAATATTCTCCTTAGCTTCTTCTGGCCTGCTCAGTACCCCTGCCTCTGGAAACCAGCATTCCTCCAGTGGCTCTGTGCCATTCAGGGAACAGAAGAAACAAGACCACAGGAGCAACACCAGCTGCAGAGATATAACCCAGCTACCCAACAGGGCAGTGCTACACACGCAAAATTCTTTTTCTAATCCACCCGTTACAGTGGATCTTGCCCAAGATGCAACATGAATATGGCTAATATCGCTCCCTGCTGAAACTAGGATATTGTTGTACCAGGTAAAGCCCAGAAGCTCTGCATAGCAATTTGCTAATACTATGATACAGGGGTATGGTGGAGGGGGATGACTGCTTTCCAGATCCCAAAGCATAGCAACAAGTCTAGTTCCTGACATCGTAAGTCATCTAGCTCATTATGCAAGGGTGGGACCAGAACATATCCCAGATGGTGACTCACACAGAGAATGGGGAAAAAAAAAAGTTGGAAATGGCACCACCAGCAAGGAGAGCAGGCAATGACACAACACACCTATTTGTAAGAAGTTCACCTGGTCTTTCAGGACTCTTCTGACAGCAATCAGGCTTTCTTACCTTAACATGGTGTGAAATAACCCCACCACCCCCTCAGTCCCCAGGGGAGACAGAAGAGAAAAAGTTAAGACAGCAGTAACTTCTCTTCCCAAATACATACATACTGTTACGTAAGTGAGAGAAAGGGGAATCAGGAGAATGAGCAGTACAGAACAATGCTACAGACCTGCACCTCTCCAAACTAGTGGGAAAGGAACACATCTCGCCTCAGAACAAGCTTGTCACAGCCATAATTGGTCTGGTGAACGTTTTAGGAGAGATTACAGCAGAAGCAAAAAAGCAGCACAGGAGCAGAAGAGTGCTGCAGATCTGCATTGCAGACTCTGCAGTTTCCCAAAGGGACTGCACAACTTACTGTTGCCAAACGGCAGGCTTCTACGTATCCATTAATGAATACACTTCTCACTCTCTGGATGTGATTTAGCCTACTTCAGGTCTCAGGAAGAGGAGCCAGATTTTGTCAATTTTGTATAAAAAGATTCTAATATCTGTCAAAGTTGGAGAGAGGTTTAATGAGAGAAAAGTGACTCCTACAGATCTTGGAGTTCCCAGGCACACAGGCAAGCTGCAAGAACCATCAATATATGTATCATATATATATATATAAAATGTATGTTGCTCGATATTCAGTACGGTTCTGCCTCTGGGACAGGTGGTCAGGTGTTTAGTAACATCCACATCAAGGCGTTGTCTCACACCCATAGATTAGCATAACAGTCCAGCACCTTTTACAGATGTTTGCTAAAGCTGCATCTCTTAAATAAATTAAGATTAGCATCTTTTAATCTCATGAGTTAACAACAAACACTTTGGACTGTATCCATAAAACAACAAGCCAGCACTACAATAGTGAAGCTCTTTAGAGGTCCTTCCTCCCAAGAAACTTTTAAAGAATCAATAGATCAGTTACAAGCAAACTGCTGTAAAATCTCTTATAAAGCCAATGTGCATTTTCTTAAAGAAACAGTGGAACACTAAGCCAAATAGCCAATAAGCAAATAGCCAATTTACTGTATGACACAGAGCGAAATGTAAGTGGAGAAAAATCCAACAAACCCCCTTATGTTTTATGCCCAAGATGCCACAGGTTCACTATACGCTCCTGGACAAGTCATTTAACACGCCTCATTCCTCTTCTTTTGAATTCCACCTGCCTTGCACAGAAAGCAATTACAGCCCATGGATCAAAATCAGCTGAACTTTTGATCAAAATGCTTCCCATCACTTAAGAACAAAAATAGCCTCCATTTCTTTGCAGGATTATACCTGCTGGTTTTTGTGTTCCTATAGATTTTTTTGCCTGACAGCTCTCTTCCTATCACCAAATTTTACTAGCATTTATTCTCAAAGCTGATAGGTTTTGCATAATGATGATCTATTTCAGTGCTCTCAATGACTTACGCAGATGTTTTTATCATTAGCTTATAGATGCAGGAAAAAAATGAAACAGATGTTAAGTCATTTGCCCAAGGCCATGCATGCAATCAGTGACAGAGGGCAGAAATAAAGTAAAACAATACACCAATATGTAAGCTGTGTCAGGAGCAGATGGATACTATTAAACTTCTGCAAAGCATCAGGAGTTAGGACCTAACCTGTAGCCTTTCTTTGGACACAACATGAAAGAAATATTTAGCTTAAAAGGAAATATGCATTAAAAAGGCATATTCCTGAAATGAATAATACTAGTCACAACCATACCTTTTCTGGCAATTTTCATATGCTCCAGTCTAAGTCTGTTAAAACAACAGATGGCACAGAAAGATTACATTACAGCCAAGGATTAAGGGGGTCAACAAGAGGTCCAATCCCATGACCTCTGCCTGCTGCAGGGTTTTGGAATGGAGGGTTGTTTTAACATGGGACGCTGTTCCTGCACCCTCCTTCCTCATTTCAGGTTGGAGACAGTTACCCATTAAGGGTTTTGAAGGGACAAGTACTTCTTATAAGGTAACAGTAATGTAAAAAATCAAAGTGGCTTTTAAAGAGAACTCTTTTCCCTGCTTCAGTTATAGAATTCTGTTTACAGGACCATTAAGTCTATTTTGTTAAGTCAAGTTCCCTTTTCACAGAAGTTTAAAGTAAATTATTATATTTATTTCATAAGAGGAAACCACTCAAGCTCTAGACATAAATACAAACAATGCAGATTACAGTTACAATACAAAAGACAACCATAGCTTAGCTTTATGATTATGATCAGCACACTTTAAACTAGGAGCTAACTAATTCACACAGCCCCAGATTCCTAATTCTCAGCTCTCCAGAAAGGCTAATAAAATCACATGGACCTGTTTGGAGCAGGTCCAGAGGAGGGCCACAAAAATGATCTGAGGGCTGGAGCACCTCTCCTACAAGGACAGGCTGAGAGAGTTGGGGTTGCTCAGCCTGGGGAAGAGAAGGCTGCGGGGAGACCTTATTGCAGCCTTTCAGTACTTAAAGGGGGCCTACAGGAAGGATGGGGACAATCTTTTTAGCAAGGCCTGTTGTGACAGGACAAGGAGTAATGGTTTTAAACTAAAGGAGGACAGATTTAGACTAGGCATAAGGAAGAAATTTTTTACAGTGAGGGTGGTCAAGCACTGGAACAGGTTGCCCAGAGAGGTAGCGGAGGCCCCATCCTTGGAAACATTCAAGGTCAGGTTGGATGGGGCTCTGAGCAACCTGATCTAAGTAAAGCTGTCCCTGCTCGCTGCAGGGGGGTTGGGCTAGATGATCTTCCAACAGGTCCCTTCCAACCCAAAGCACTCTATGATTCTATGAAAACAGATGAACCTTGACCTGGGAAACAAGGACACACAAATGTAAGCAGAAGGGGAAAGTGACTACTCACTGACACTAACATGCCTTAAGTTATACAGTATTAGGAAATTGTTCACTCCAAATACTGGAGCTTCAAAGGAGTACTACAAAGCATGAATTTAACACCTCGGCCCTTTGCATTTATTATTTTGACTCCTAAGCTATAACTAAAAAAAGTTCTTCCAAGATGCAGCTGCATCATTCAAAATCCCTTCTTGGGGATTTCTTCCCCATCTTCTTTCTTCTCTACTATGAATATTTTTTTTTATATATAACCAATTACAAAATACACCCAACTTCCTGCCAGCAGTCAGTAAGATGGCTATCTACTACACCCAGAAGATAAGTCCTTTAGAAAGGAGTTTATTTCTGCAACTGTGAAATCTAATTTCCTTCCCCTGCAACTGTGGAATCTAATTTCCTTCCCCTGCAACTGTGGAATCTAATTTCCATCCCTGCTTGCTCCAGTCATCCATTGCCTCTTGCAGAACAACAGCCAAGGGAACCTGGATGAGATTAACAGGTGTAGGTAGGTTCAAAACACTAAGTAGGAGGACCAACTTCTTCATACTATGTGTAAACTAACTACCAAATTAATTGTCAGTGAAAGCCAGAAGCTTGATAAAGTTGAAGCAAGCGTACAGACAAATTCATGGAAGGCTACCCCCTTAAAAACTGGCAAAACAAAGAGGCTATGTCTGACTTAAGAGGGCTGTGAGCTGCAGATCACTGGTGTTGCTAGACTATACAGAGGAAGTGACACCACATGCCCTTACACTGTTGCCTTGAAATCACCATTGGCTTACTGTCTTGATGTGGGTTGGAGAGGAGAAGACAGACATTCTCTGGCACCCAGGATAGCCAAACTTTTTTTTTTTTTTTTTTTTTTGGAACCGTTTACCAGCTCTCTGTACTCCCTTGAGGAACAAAGGATAGTTTCTTGACCCCTCATTTTGAGCATGAGCTTTGGTCAAAAGGGGCCACTACATGGCAACATCATAGTGGCACATTCCCCAAAAGACAGAAACAGAGGTCATACCAGGGCTTCTAAGTTTCTACTTAGACCACCGCATGCAATTAGTTTCACATTTCTCAGTATTTGTTCCAGCTTTCTAAGCCCCACAATAAAGTCATATAAGAAGCTGTTGCTTTCCAGAGCATGTTCCAATAATGCTTTCCGTGCTCAGTGCTGTTTCCATTTGAGTCACTCACAGTCTCCTTTATCTGACTAATACAGGACTCATTTACTCATTCTTTTATGAATACAGTTATTGCATGTGTAATTAATTCTACTGTTGCAGCGCAGCATTCCTCTTCAGAGAAAACCTGGTGCCAAGAGATACTAGACATTTAGTATCGAGATCTATTAAAGGGGTGTGAGAGATGTAATACAAGGTTTATCAATTCTAAACTCAAAACTGCAAAAAGAAGCCGACATTTACTTACATTTTAAAATTGCTTTTGCAGGTTTATATTAAAGAAAAATGATGGTGAAAGGAATCTCGAAGAGGTTTTGGTTTTTTTGTCCTACAGCATCAAAAACCAACAACGTACCTTCTAAATGCAGAGCATGATACACTGTAAAGCAGGCCAGAAATATATCCTAGACTCTTTAGTTAGACAAAGTATACTTTTGGAAAGTGTAGTTTTCTACTTGTGGCTTATTTACCTAAATTGAGAATTCATTCAGAAGACCTACTGGATAATGATCAAGATAAGGGTCTTGACTGATAACACACTATACAGTTGCTGCAACAACTTGGGAGAACTCAATTTTCCCTGCTTCCTCAACTGTCTCAGTTGCAAACTGAACATGTTACAACTTAAAACTTTAGAAATAAAGTTTATGCAAATCCGTAAGTTTGCAAAAAAACCTTAAAAAGTCAGGAAATCCAAAGAGTAGATATTGCTAAAGCAAGCTTTCTTTTCTGGACACATCATATGCAATAAATACATTGTGCAGGTCATTTTGCCTTTATTTCATTGTATAATAATGCTTGCTTTGTCATAATGACCAAAACAGAAGATAATTCTTTTCAGCAGGTCTGACCCCTGCACAGCCTCCCACAAACAAATGCGCCTAAAAGTGAGGCTATGAAACAGAATTTTGCATACTAAAAGTAATTATCTCTTGTACTTAGCTATTGTAAAAATTCCTTCAATATATGCCATACCAGTCCTCAATGTCATCCAGCTGAGTACAAGGGCATTCTATTTTGCTTATCTATTGAAAAAACTGTCAAGCATTTGTTATACTTGGCTAGATTTTGTTTTTAAACAAAATTATTAACAGAAGTATTCTAGTGACTGAAATCGTGAGTGCAGAGTATTGGCAAAGATGAAAGACAGGCGACTACCATAAGGCCAACAAAAACACACAGAGTTGTTCTGCAGTATCACCCATTATACATAAGGTGTAAGACTCAAACCTATCCTTCTCACTACCACCTCTGCCATGTGTGTGAGCTTTTGAGTAATACTACCCATGAACAGTCACCTTGTAGACAGACATTTTTCAAAATGTGTTATAGTCTAAATACATTTAATATTTATAACACACTTTCATTACATTTTCAGGAACATGTTCTAATCTGTAGATGAAACTTGCAAGAACAGCTGAGAGATTCTCAAGTGTCAGCTCTGCCAGAAGAAAAGTACATGAGCTAATCAACAGTGTTACAGAAATTAACAAGCATCTTCACTTTGATTTTAATTTGAATGCCTTCCAAAAAATACACATTTGAAATCTAAGCTTCCGCAATGAAATGTACTGATAATACATTTGCCAGAAGCCAGCAAGACTTCATGAAGCCAAACATGGGTAAAGGAGACAAAAAGTTGCCTCACCAGTATGAGTGAAGTGCAACCACAGTACATGCTGACAAATCTTACTTCCTTTGATCTAGCTAGAACACTACACCTTTCCTGTGGTTACCCTGGTATCATAAACTTCAGCAAGGTCCAGGAACCAAAGTATGTCTACAAAGTTTATCCTGGATTGTACAACTGCAGATGAAGCCAAGGATGGTATCTTTAAGACTACCCTTATTTGTAGCAGTCAGATGAAAGTTAATGCAAATACTCTGATGCACTTTGATTAAACCTGCTATGTGCAATGCAGTCAAATCTGAAGCAATCTGTGTGAATATGACAGGACACAGTCATGGCTGACAGCAGATCATTGGAAACACTATTTTCAGACAAGACTTAAACCATCATGTAGTGCTGTATATTACACACATTCATATACAAATACAAAAAAGAAATACTCACCCTAACTTCATAAACATTATCTGAATAATCCACAGTCTGGCAGACATAGCTGTACCCTCGAGCTCTTGATGACAAAAACAGCTGAAAATATTAAAGTCATACATGAGGGGAAAGATGCTACATAAAACATGTTCGTAACAATTATCAGCAAATTTCTTGCTACTTCAAACTTACCTGAACAGAAATATTTAAAATATCCTTATCAGTCCTGAGAATACTATTGAAGAAAGCCAATATTTAGTTCTAACAATCTGTTGTTACACAGTACCTATTTTTTCTTGTAAATTAAAAAGAAAGTACTCATTTTTCCCTGCAGGTATCTGCCCAGACAATTAGAGCCCTGTACAGATTAGTAAGAATTCCAGTATGACCTTAAATTATTCAAACATGAGCATTCCCTCTGACAGCTCTAGCTTCAGAAACAGAAAATACCTAATTGCTTTCACTATGAATGACAGAAACGCTAGTCCCGTGATGGATTAGAGAGCACTCTCTCCAATAGACAGGGATTAGATAATTTGGATCTACTATTCCTAAACCAGTATACCAATCAAAATCCAGGAAAAACCTGAAGAGCCAATGCTGAGCACCCATAAAGCACAGTGAGAGAAACTGGATGAAGCAAAGTTCCCCATTTCGTGTCAACAGAAATGGCCTAAAGCACATGAAGTGCTCCTGTAGGTCTGCTCCAAATAAAGCATGTTGCAATAACCTGAACAGGAGAAGATAAACTTGAACTTTGAGCAAGTTCCCATTGGAAAGAACACTTGCCTAGAGCTGTACAAGGTTCAAGCAATACTTCTAATCTTGACATTCTTAAATGTTATGATCCAAGATTGTTTAAAGCCAGGTAATCCTACCCTGTTAAGGATCAAAAAAGACAGCAGTGGAGCAGATACAACCTGTAAATTGTGAGCTGTAAAAGTAAAGAAGGGTGACACAAAAAGCTCTCCAAAATAAACATGGGTAGGCTCTGACTGTTCTTACCACTAACCTGACTTCCATCTTATTTAGACTGAACTCAAGTTTACTTCAGTATCTCAACTTGCGCACAGCACTAGGGGTGCAGACAGATGCAGACACAAGTGTTATTCAGATAAAACCATACAAACATACAAAACCTTGTGAAACTCTGGACTTACTTGCTGCACATGTCTGTTAAGGAAGGAAGTGAAAGAACTGCCCACAGAAATGATCCTAAGAAAGACGTTGAACTCCTTCTGCATCATATCCAAGTCCATTTACAAACTGCTGTAACACCACTATTCTGCAGTGTGGTCCCACACAGGCATGAGCACATTTGATAATATCGGAGAAGAGCAGTGAACAATGTAGTTCACTGTTACAGAAACTAACCAATCTCTACTGTGACCTACTGGGTAATTTGACCAAGGTTCACTTGGCAAAAGGCAGTAAATTGACTTCACCAGACTGCCTCAAAGTAGAAGAAATTCAAGATTTTGTGGCAAAATAGGGGCTACGCGTCTGCAACTTCTGCATGTTCTAAGCAAAATTTGCTCCTGATTTGAATCTGAACTTGAGTCCAACGTATAGGAGTCTTGGACTAGACAGCCTAGCAGTACTTTATGGACTGACAAGTTTAATATAAGTTACCACAGATGAACAATACAGCTTGTCATCAGGATGATTATTTAAATAACATTTAAGGGCATTTCACATTCAAATTCTGTTCTGAGCAATACTTAGAAACTTTACAGTCATTCACAAATACAAACTATGTATCATTAACCCATCACTATTACATTACTCATGCAAATTACAACAGTGGCACACTGGTATTGTAAACCTCACGTGGATTGAAGCAGAAGTTCCCTGGTTAAATGGAACAACTGAAACTTAAACACTTTCCTGCTGTCAGTCTCTAAGATCAAGAAAAGACACTTCCTTTTGAATGTTGTATCCATAGCCTTAACTTCCATTGAAAAACAACCTACCATTTGAAATAGCAGGAAACTAGAACCTCCGTCTGTGTCTAAAATTATGAGCCTTCAGCCTATCAGCAGCAAACATGTATTTGCAGTCCCATACATTTTTATGTTAATTTGGTGATTTGGAAATGCTGTGCAAACACATGTGTTACCCTATAAGCAACATAGGTTTAAAAATTAATTGACTACAAGTCTGGTATAATTCAAACGAATTTAAGAGAGTAAGTGAAAAAGACAGACATGGCAAAAACACTGCAGAATTCATTTCAGAGGAGTTTCAGTTTTAACCTGCCAAGATGATTGGATTTCATTCATTCCCACAACCATCCTTGGGTGTCAGCATTAAATTCTGTTGTACCTGTACTATTTTATTACTTAGTTGAATAGTGCAAGGAAACAATTTAGACAAAATGACAACTGAGGTGTGATGGCTAAAATTTTACTGAGCCATGTCTTAAAAAAAGACTGAAATCAGTTAGTGATTTTGTTATAGAAGCTCTGGGGAAGGGTCAATATGCAGATCATCATTAAGATGTGCCATGCTTTCCTGGCAAAAGTACAGAACAGACCAGCCAGAAAGAGAGTTCTGCAATGCTGTAATTTTAACTGCTCTGTTCATTTCCTTACTTCTGGAAACAGATTTTGTAAATCTATGATCCGAGGTCTTCCAGGAAGAAGACTCTCAATCCATATGAGCAAAGTCACAGCAGCAAAACTACTCCTTAGCTATATTCTGGACAGCTATCCTTGAATAATGATTATCAAACTGTTAAAGTAAACCCACTTAGCTGCTGCTAAAGAGCATTGTACAGAAAACCTAACAAAGAAGAAATGCGGCAACACTGAAATTTATTAAAATTAACACACTGAGAACATTGCAAACCTAATATTAGAAGGCTGTATTCTCTTATTTAAAGATACAGTTCACTTCATTTTTATTCTTATTCTAAAAGATAACTTACAGACAAGATACTTTTCCTTGCTACAGACAATGGACATCTGAATTTCTAAAAGTGATAAACACACTGAAGGCACGAACAAACAGCTCAATTTCTAACAAGATACATTCCGACACCCCTTCAGATTCTTAAAAAGAAAAAAAAAAAAAGTGTTAAATCTCTACGGATTTTAGTTAATCTGTCCAGTATTTGCACTAACATAAATCTAAGAAGAGCTTGGAATAGCTAGTACACAAATTCTCTCTATAAACTCATTTAGTGCATTTATTCTCAAACAGAACGTACCTAGCTACAGAAATACTCACATCAAAGGCAAACTCAGCTTAAAGAGTCTGTGCAAAACATTCACCCTCAATAGACATCATGAATATGTAAGATTATTTTCATTTTGCAATCTGTAGACACCCTCAGACTTAAATAGGAATTCCCTCCTGCAAGAGGGCATACACACCTCTTTGAAAATGAAGAAGTTGAGTAGAACCATTCCAAAGTTGTAAACAACCAACAGGAAACGTAACTGGAAGGGCTCTCTTGTCTTCATCCATTTGGGGCCCAGCCAGACAGTGAGGAGATAAATAGTGCTTATAGTCAGTGTTGGAAATGGAGACTGCATCAAGGGCCAATCATCAACACGTTTGTCTGGGGGGGTTGAAGCAAACAGAAGGAGTCAACAAGGTCTGAACAAAATACATGTCATCATCATTTTAAGCATCGCATTTCTTAAGTATTATTCTCTCCTGGAATAGCTGCATCAGACAGTAGAAACACAATACACTCATTCTTTCTAGGAAGGTTAAAGAAAACAGTTTTTAAAAAAACCCACTATATCACATTACCTCACACAGAGATTCATTATGTCATGCAAGTTCTATTGTCTAGTTCTACAATCCAAAACAATAAAGCAAACAGAATCACATGAGCCCAAACCCAACCCACTAATGCCCCAAAACCCAATTTTGCTTATGATGAACAGTGACTGCAGCAGCAACATAACCAAATACTCAACACCACTGCAAATGAAAGAGACACAAATTTGGCAAAATACTGATAAAAATAATAGTTTTTATTAGTTTAAAATTAGGCACTAAGAAGCCTCCAATTAATTTTATACAGGTTATACAATGCTAATCAAGTACCTTTGCTATTTAATGTAGGTCAGTCTCATATGTTTCAGACAATACTAAGAATGTTACTGGAAAACAACTAAATAAAAGAGTTTAAAGGGATGGTTCCAGTTAGAGTAATCTGTGCTACCATATAGGAGACAAAAGTTTTATTTACAGTCTCCTTCGGTCACTCATGGGATCCAGAGTTACACATACTCTAGGGCCCAGAATATGCTATATTAAGTTCTGGATCTTTATCAAAAAAAGCACTCTTAGCCCAATGAACCAGTGACATCTAGGATTAGAAGATGGCTCTGCTACAGTGGAGAGAAGGGAGAAACTACAGTGACACCTCCTCCTTACTCAGTGTGTCCCTCCGCACCCCATATGAAGGCTAATCTCTAGTTATAGCAAGAGATAAAAAACGGTCCATAACTATCCATATTATATATCCATATATATATCCGTAACATATCCATATCTACAACTATTCCATAACTATCAATACTTCAGATACTGCACAGCTCTACAATACTAATTGGATTATTTTCCAGATGCTTAGGCTGGATGGAGTTCTGATGGAAATCACACCACAGGGGTCCTTGGGAAGCTCAGCCACCTAAAACACCTGCCTTCAGTCATTTGTGGGTAAACTCCCAAACAGCAACACGGCTGCCCACAGGCTTACCTAGAGGACAAGTTTCTTTTGGAGAAGTGCTTTTCTTCATGGTAACCCAAAGACAGTGAAAGAAACCTATACCATAAATTAATTCCTGATCCCAGGCATACTAACAGGTAAGTTAGGACACCTTCTTATCTACAAAATGAGGACCTCTGATGCAATGAGGAAAGTACAGAACAGCATTGCCATTATTCCTCCTCCACTTCCTTCTCGTTTCCTTGGTTGCCCTTAAGATCATAAATTAGAATCTCGTTTTAAGAACAGATTTCATAAGACTCCCTGTTTCTAATAAACAACACATATTGTGATCTACAGAACAACAGTGTGCACGTCACTGACTCTTCTTGCTTCCAGTTGATTTAACAATACTTGATCTGCACATTGCAAGATGCTAGGAGACCTAAAAAGAAGTGGAAAAGAAGAAAGAGAAACCAGCCTAGCTGCTTCCATTATGGCTGTTAATACCAGAACAGAGAAGTCATCCTAATGCATGGAAACCTCCAGCAAGGCTGATGCTTCCAGAATGATGGGAGTCAGCCTTGTGACTGCAGCCAGCAACAGACGCCAAGGGCAAGATAAGGCAAGGAGTACAGGGAGGAATGGCAAAAAAATCAGACGGATTGGCTGTAGAAACACAGGCAGTGAAACAGAACTGAAGAAAAGTGAGAGAAAACAGTTAGTTACCTCTTACTTTTCAGCAAGTCCCTGGAACAGACACTTCTATTACAATATAATGTACTCTCTGCAAAATGTGAGAGTGATTGCTTTATGGTACTGTATAGTGTCTTGGGATGTAAAGGAACAACCCCATTTCCCAGACCTCACAGAATGCTACCTGTTGAAGCTGAAATCACACTGCTGTGTTGCAATTATTACACTGCTATCTCCCTTACACTTTACTTCCTGCTTGCTTTCAGCAATTGCTCTACCAATCTGAATTTAAAAATAAAAGATAACACCATTTAAAAGACAAGAGGAATGGAGAACCTCATCATCCACCTGATATGAAGTAATGGGCAAAGACTCACCTCCACCAAGCAAGAACAAAGGCGTCACTTCTTAATTAAGAGACAAATCTGGGAATAGCCAATGTGTGACATGCTTTAATCAAATCAGCATCTCACTTCAGACACCGTAGTGTGCACAAAGTTAAGAGCAGGTGCGGCAAGAGACCTGGTTGCTTTCCCAGCCTTCCTGCACTAAGCAATATAAAGAAGGAAGGACATATTAGAGAATCTGTCTTCTATTTTCTAACCCAGTGTTTCATGGCATGCTGAACACTAAAGTGACAATACAAAAAATGTGAAAAAGGAAGATTTGAATTTTACCCAGGAGCTGAACGTTACCACCCACTGCTGAAAATAGGAAACCATCTATTCCAGATTTCTTTTTGTGGCAGGAGACAAAGGTTTCTAGAGGGAAGAATGAGGGTTCAATAGAAGGTGAAAGGAAAGACAAAGGGACAACTTTTATGAAAGCCCAGCTGCAAGTGAGCTTTGCCTCAGGCTTCATCAGCACTGTAAACAATTCTTTCACCTACTTTCCACAAATACTACAAATTGAAGAACTTAACTGGAGAAAACCAAGAGACATATTTAATTAACTCTGACAACAACATAAGAGCACCTGGGCAGCTGCCATTACACTTCCATACCTGTATCGTGGTTTCAGCCTGTTACTTTCCGCCTGCACAGGGATTCTGTGAGCCACCACATCTCAGAGATAAATCTTAAAGTATTTGCAAGAAAGCATTGATACAGACAGCTAACACGCTGCCCAGGGAACCTATCTGATTGGAATTTTGGGGGCCTGAGCTCTCCTAGTACAAGTAATTACACTTTAAAGGCAAAATGCCTGTATGAGAGGGAATACAGTAGGCAATTCAATTCTGGAGTACAACCTGGCCAAAACAGAAGCATATCAATAGTCAAAAAGTTTATTCTAATTCCTACTGTGCTAACTAAGAACACCACCTTGCATTTATTTTGAGGGCATTTAGGAGACTCTGCATATGATTATTTTTTACTAATACTGTGGCATCAGAAAACATGCTACTATTCATCCCAGACCTTGCTAGATTTAGAAACTTGTTCATCACAAGATCTCACGTGGATAATGCAAAGTAACTTGTTCAGTTTTAAATCAGCTCCATGCACCATTCTTGTCGCACAGAAGGTATTACAAAACCAAATTCATTTCAGTTTACCAGGCAAGCCTGCTTGTACACGTTCTACAGAGAAAACAGTTACATGCAGACCCTTGTTTCAAACTTCTTTTCAGATACCCTCTTTCAAAGCAAGATAAATTCACTTTAAGTCATCTGCTTAAGTGACAAATCTCCCAAGCTACTCCAACACCATCCTCCCTCCCACCCTCCACCCTGTTTTAGCAAAACCAGCATAATTTAGTGTCCTACTTACTAGCTGGTGCTGATGACCACAATGATTTCTGCAAATTATGGAAAACTGTGATAGGTTAAGGGGACATATGACTGTATTAAATCCTGCAGTACTTCACACACAATAGGTACATTATTACCTGAAAGATGAAATAAGCTTGAAATAAAAAAGCCAGCTCCCCGAATTAAAAAATCCCTCCAACTGCTTTGAAGCAAAATGACCAATGCCTTTACCTGATTAGAATTGACAGAGACTGACTGAATCTTTCAGGGGATTAATGCGTTTGTCTTTCAAATCCTAAGACCCAGATTCTAATTTGACCACAAATAAAATGTCTGTTGTGATGGCACAGCCTGTAGGACAGTGCTTTTTTTGTAAGGTGGGAGAAGTTTTAGAACAAACATTTAAAGTTGCACTTAATTGTAAAAATTAATTCAGAGTAGAATAAGGCATCTGCTAGCATGTTCCTGACACAAAATTACTGTTATGTAAGGAAAGAGCATGAAATGTTTATATATACAAGGTTTTCCTGTGGTTTTGTGTATATACATTTTCAAGTTTCACATTGCAAAGACAAGACAAGAAATAGAAGAACATATATATTTTTTATGTGTGTGTATGTATATAGATATAAAAAAAATAATTGAAATTGCCCTGAGGCACCTACCCTTGCAGGATTTAATTCTTTATATGGGGCAATTAACAGGAAATACAAACATAAACCCCTCTGATTTCTTCCTCCAAAGCAAGAACAAGAGCAGGACCAGCGAAAAGGACTGAATATCCTAGCCGGTAATGTTCAAAGACAACATAATTAACCTATATTGAAATATGGAAGGCAAATGAAGATGAATTTCAGTAAGTAAGGCTGCACTGATGGTGATCTAGAGTTAAAAATCACAAGAAACTTCTGTGAAACTTACTGTAGATGTTTTAATACGCAAATGCTTCTGCTAAATGTGGTTCAGCATTTCCTTTCCAATAGAGAGGATTTTAGATGGTTAAATTTCCTGCATATTACTGAGCCTATGCTCGCGTTTTTTGCTTATTTTTAAAATTTGTACTTCTTGAGGAAAGAAAACAAATGCATAGCACAGTCATTCCTACATTCATCAGGAGAAATCCTGAAACAGTACAACGGTGACTATCTCTGCCTTTAATATTAGTTTTAGAGAAAATATTACATAAGTAAAATACATGACTTTTGAAATTCCCTGCATTCATATTAGATTCAAAATCAATACTTAGTAAGTCTTTATTTTTACTTTAACAACATATGCATTCCTTAGCTGTAAGATTGCTACTCACTAATTTATCTGGAGAGCCTTTCAAAGTTATTAATAGCTATTGATACTATTCTGGGCGCAAAGACACTTACAGTGCCAATCCAGCACATCCATCTGTCCAATCACATTTCTAAAGACACCGCAGAAATGATGGTGACTGTTTGAAAGTGGTTCTTAACAGTGAGCGCTCTATACAGATCACGCCGTTTATTTTAACAAGAAGTCCTCTCAAAGCCCAATCTCAAGTTTAAGAAAGATTTCCTTAAACAAGTGAAACTTTAATTCTGCAATATAAGGAAAGCAAACCAGTATTATCTAATTGGAGTATTGGTCTATGAACTACACTGTTTTAGTTATCTAAGAATTTCACACATCTTGTTAGCTCCACTAGCACTATAATTTAAGGATATTACAAAATCAAAAACATGTCATATAAAAAAACATGTGAGAAACATAACTTCAGACACCTTAAAATGTTTACAAAGCTTTTACATTAAAATCCTTTGCAGTATTTTAGCGCCTCCCTCTCCCCTGTTTCTTTCTGGTTACAGGTTAATATTCTATACAACATACTTCTCTTTCTGCATTTGTATTAGAAATACTGTCTCAGTCCTGTAAATATTTACAAATGAATATAAGTTTCACCGTGGCTATACAACCACTGCAGACTGGCTCAGTTGAAAGTAAACTTGAATAAGCATCTACATGATTAGACCCTAGGCTGTTGAACTAAATTCAGCAATGCATCAGAATCACTTCAAAGTACATTTACTGTTACGAGTTTGTAGAGATTCCAAGAAAAAAGCTCAGTCTGACTGTACTCAGAATGTACAAATGTACAAATGGAACAACAACAGCTGAAGTTATAAACTTAACCTTTAAAATGTACACAACTAACTACATGGGCTGCACAACTTGAGACTGAAGACTGTTAGAGAAGTACCATTGCAGAGTCAAAACTGAGAGGCCATATATCTTTGGATTGGATACCTACAGAAGTTAAAATTTTCTATTCACTTACTTATTACAATTTGAATAGAGCAGTTTATATGGCCCCAAATGAATGATTCTTTTAAAGGTCTCCAGTGCTTGAATTAACTTGTCTTTTATATTGATTGCACATATTGCACTCTAATCCTCTATTATCTCAGTTTATCGAGTTTCTTTATGATAAATCCTATGATAAAGGATTGAAGCTAGTGCACGAACTAAAATAACATGCCTATTGCCTCACTTGGGTTTCAATCAGAAAAAAGTCTATGTTCTCCTAGGAGGGACTGTGCAGACAGATTGCTGCAGGAAAGCAAAAGGACTGGGACACAAGGAACGTCCAGTTTATGCTTCTTTCTCACCTTTATCTC